AAATATTTCTCCACTTTGGATCATATAGAGATCTATAGAAATAAAAATTAATTTAGAAATAATTTCCAGTAATTTAATTAGTCTCAACTGTTACAAACAGGAGAATCAGCAGCTTTAAGATGTAAAACATGAATAAAACAGAGTTCAGGGTTCCTACAGTTTAAGACAAGCTAAATTTAAGACTTTTAAGACCTATTTAATGACACTTGAAATTAAACTTAAGACCAATATCACAATAAACACAAATGAAAAAAAACTGTTGGTGACAATTTTAGCCAATTTTTTAAAAACAAAACAACAAGTTGTGAGGAGCATTCAATAAATCATTTAAAAAGATAAACATTACCAATTCTTTTAATATTTGAGAGGAATTACAATCATCCTACTTACATCTTAAGACCTCTGAAAGGTTAATTTAAGACATTTTAAGGCTAATTAAGGCCTTATTTTTGGACTGATGAATTTATTGCCTTTTAAGACTTTAAGGGTCCGCAGGAACCCCGGTGGTTCAGTGAGTCTGTCGGTCGTCTTGGTTTTAGAACCGTTGGTGTTTGGTTAAAGTTTTCATCTGCTCTGGTTGAAGCACTAAATACAAACAAATCAAACTTTATTAATCAGAACTGCCTCGACAAATGCTTTAAATGTACAAAAACTGAGTCCAAAACATTTTGATCAGCTGAATATTTTTAGCTGCTGTTTATTTATGTTGTTATTGTTTGTTTATCTGCTGAACAGATTCTTGTTATTTATCAGCTGTTCACGGACCAAACATGAACCTGGATGTTTGTGTTCTGCTCTCAGGCTCCACAGATCAGCAGGTTCTGTTCTGATCCAACATGAGTCCAAAAAATGTTGTTTTCAAGAAAACCTGCAAAGACAAGTCGGTGAGAGAACTTTTTCTTTACTGAGTTATCTGTGAAGTTTGATTGTTTTAGATTTATAAAATAATAAGTTCTGCTGTAGAAACAGAACCTGACAGGAAGCTGAGAGGCTCCAGGTTCAACTGTGATCAACTGCTGGCCCGTGGGCCACTTCAAGTTTGTTGACCGGGGGCTTTACTGCTCAGTGGTGGTGACAATATAAAACTATAAATATATACAGTGAATTTTAACGTTTATTGTTATTTTTACACTTTAGAACAAAAAAAGTAAAAAATAAAATATAGTTTTACCAAATTTAATCAAACCAACTGAACTGTGCAGAAATATCTTTGTTTCTAGTTTTAAGGTCTTTAAAGGGAACCCTTGAGGGAAAACTCAAACTTTATGGCTGAAAGTTGCYAACAGGCTGTTAGCATCATGTTTCACTCGTCATGTTTTCTGGTTCTGGTCCAAACTGTTGGAGATTTAAATCCTGTGTTTGAAGGTTGGGGTGTTCATGGGGAAACGAGACTTTGTGGACCGCGTGGACTCTGTGGATCCAGTAGGTGAGTCCATCAGAACTAAACATTCARCTTGACCTGGACCAGAACTGAGTTCCTCTGTTCTCCACTAGATGGCGTTGTTCTGGTGGACCCTGAGGCTCTGGCTGGGAGAAAAGGTCTGAGYCTGGATCAGTCTGAGAGGTTTTTTTCTTACAGAAGGTCGGAGTTGAACTCTGTGTGTCCTGCAGTGTTCGTCACGCTGTCCTGCACCTTCCGCTACGGCAGGGACGACATGGACGTGATGGGGATCGCCTTCCGCAGGGAGCTGTACCTGGCCACCCGTCAGGTGTACCCGCCTCTGCAGGACCCGGACAAAGGYGTCCACACCAGAGTCCAGGCCAAACTGCTCCGCAAGCTGGGACACAACGCCTAYCCGTTTTTTTTCGAGGTGAGACCATCCAGACCGGACTGTAGACCCAGCTCTGAGTGGACAAAACCTAAAGATTAAAACTGACAGKAAGTGTTTGTGTCCTCAGTTTCCTGACAACCTGCCTTGCTCAGTGGCTCTGCAGCCAGGACCTCATGATGTTGGAAAGGTGAGATCCTCCTGCTGAGAGAAGAGAACACCTGGCCTCCTTAAATACTGAAATAAAGTGATCCAGACCTGGAGGGTCCCTGCAGGGGTCTTGGGGGGGTCTCAGAGGCAGTGGTGGGCAGCGCTAATCCAAAAATTAGCTCTGCATTTCTGAAGCGCTTATGTGAATATTTAGGTCCGCAACTTCAAAAGTGCTTAATCCGTAGAAAAACTAGCAGAAGCTAATTTTAAAGCACAAGTTCAGTTTGACACTTACTGTCTGACAATAATTCATGTACAATATATGCACAACACTGCCAACTAGTGGTGTATGAACACTTTTACAACTTAATCCTACAACCWCWGATAGCTGGGGATCTGATTTTCTGAAACCGACCTTTGGCTCCTGGTGTAAAAGTTAAAAAGTTGTTGAGGATTACTAGTTCGGCTGCTTCTTGGTCTTTTTCTTTTGTTTGTTGTAGATTTTTCATTAAAGAAGCATCAATAAAGCAATTTTAAAACTGTTTATTGGAAAACTGAAGCGATGCATTCTGGGTACATGATGGATTTGATTTGTGACGGGAAACGAAGGTTTGCCGTGTAGTTGCTCCAGGTGACCACTAGATGTCAGTCTAACCACGT